ACAGGTCAAGGGGGCGGGATGAGGTTAGTAGGTAGGAGATGGGGGTGCAGCTTGAGGTGGGAGGAGGGGATAGGTGGGAGGAAGAACAGGTTAGGGAGTCGGGGACAAGCTGGGCTGGTTTTGGGATGCCTAGGGGGAGGAAGATTTTGAAGCTTGTGAAATCCACATTGATACCATTGGGCTGCAGGGTTCCCAAGCAGAATATGAGTTGCTGTTCCTGCAACCTTCGCGTAGCATCGTTGTGGCACTGCAGGAGGCCCAGGATGGACATGTCGTCTGAGGAATGGGAGGGGGAGTTGAAATGGTTCGCGACTGGGAGGTGCAGTTGTTTATTGCGAACCGAGCAATAGGTGTTCTGCAAAGCGGTCCCCAAGCCTCCGCTTGGTTTCCCCAATGTAGAGGAGGCCACATCAGGAACAGCGGATGCAGTATACCACATTAGCAGATGTGCAGGTGAACATCTGCTTGATGTGGAAAGTCTTCTTGGGGCCTGGGATGGGGGTGAGGGAGGAAGTGTGGGGGCAGGTGTAGCACTTCCTGCGGTTGCAGGGAAAAGTGCCGGGTGTGGTGGGGCTGGAGGGGAGTGTGGAGCGGACAAGGGAGTCATGGAGAGAGTAGTCCCTCCGGAAAGGGTGGGGAGGGAAAAATGTCTTTGGTGGTGGGGTCGGATTGCAGATGGCGGAAGTGTCGGAGGATGATGCATTGGATCCGGAGGTTGGTGGGGTGGTACGTGAGGACAAGGGGGATTCTTTTTTGGTTGTTATTGCGGGGATGGGGTGTGAGGGCCCCGCCTCCCTAACCTGTTCTTCCTCCCACCTATCCCCTCCTCCCACCTCAAGCTGCACCCCCATCTCCTACCTACTAAACTCATCCCGTCCCCTTGACCTGTCCGTCGTCCCTGGACTGACCTATCTCCTCCCTAACCCCCCAGCTACACTCACTTTTACTGGCTCCATCCCCACCTCTTTGACCTGTCTGTTTCCTCTCCACCTATCTTCTCCTCTATCCATCTTCTATCCGCCTCCCCCTCTCTCCCTATTTATTTCAGAACCCCCTTCCCCTCCCCCATTTCTGATGAAGGGTCTAGGCCTGAAATGTCAGCCTTCCTGCTCCTCTGATGCTGCTTGGCCTGCTGTGTTCATCCAGCTCTACACCTTGTTATCTGAGCTCTCAGTGAAATTGTCAATGATGTCACAAGAGGTTCCTTTAATGTTGGTCACAGACAGATTTCACAGAACTGATCACTTTTTACATGGCTCACTAACCTTGACTGTCTTTAGGAGCTGCAGGTAGTCTTTAAATACCTTCAGGGAAACATGATATTCAACCCCTTGTTAATGTGTGCTGCCAATCATTATTAGGACGAGCACTTGTTGCTTGCCTAACTCAAAAATGAGAGTCCTCGATCAATTTTATGTATTGATTGCACAATGCAGTTTTACATGTTCCTACCCCAACAGGTCAAATATTGTAAAGTTGGAAAGGGAAAATGCATTTTTTTTGCAAAGTATGAAACAAATTTAAGACTGGATAACTCGACCTGATTTGAATTTAAAAACAAATTGTTATCAAAGATTAAAGGCAGAGGAATTCCACAATCGAAAAGGCTCAGTTTGTTAAGGTAAGTGTTCTGAAGAATGACAGGGTTTGACGGACTAAATGTCAAGTTTATTTCTGTGCTTCCTTATCCGTAATTCTTGCATTTGTGGTTTCTTTTTTATTCCTAAGTGCCTTGCTAAAAATACTGAAAGGACCAAGAAAATCAACTTACCAGAGTTTATATAGCAAATTGCCTTGGAATAGGAGACGAATTAACAAAAATAAACATCCCTCAATGGTAATTGCAATGAAGACCCAGCCCAGGAATTCCATCTCAAATGGACTCACGTAGGAATCAACTCCAAAATCCTTGGTCAGATCAAATTTCAATTGATTGTAGGATAGTTCTATCAGCCCAAAGGACAGGCAAAATTGTGGGAAAATGATAAAGACCCAGCGAAGTACACTGTAAACTCTCAACAGTTGCTGCAGAAAAGTAAAATAAACATAAACATTTTAATTCTAGAACTGATGTGTATATTGATAGCACATTTATTAGTTATCTCAGTCCCAAATTTACTTGAACTGTAGTCACCTTCTCCATTTCAATACATTTTGTATGAATTACTTACTTTTGTGAAATACAATCATAGAATCCCTACAGTGTGTAAACAGGCCATTCGGCCCAACAAATCTACACTGCCCCTCCAAAGAGTATCCCACCCTGACTCATTCCCCTAACCCTGCATTTTCCCATGTCTAACCCACCTAACCTAAACATCCCTGAACACTACAGGCAATTTAACATGGCCAATCCATCTAGCCTGCACATCTTCGGACTGTGGGAAGAAACCGGAGCAAACCCACATAGACACAGGGAGAATGTGCAAACTCCGCACAGACAGTTGCCCAAGGTTGGAATCAAACCCGGGTCCCTGGGCGCTGTGAGGCAGCAATGCTAACCACTGAGCCACGCGCCACCCTTAAAACTCAACTCAAGCAGTACTTGAACCCATAACCTTTGAATCACAACACTTTAGAAATCCAACATGCTCTCCATTGTACCACAGACCCAGACAGTTAAAATAGCCCCGCAACCCCAGGAATGCAGCTTAAAATCCATCTCTGGTGGGACTTGAACCCACAGCCTGTGAATGCCTTCAACAGCCTCAGACTAGAAGTCCAATGCGGTATCCATTGCAGCACAGAGCCTCCTATCTTTATGCCCTTGGAATTTAAATTCCTCGTGATACTATTTCTTCTGAAGGTACGCTCTGTTCTAAACTAGACTGATTTAACAAATACAAATTTAACAAATCAAAGCTGTAACAGCAAAACTCAGGTTGTTATGCCAGAGGAGTTGAAAGATATTCATCTTAACCCACACAAAAAAAGCAGTGGAAATTTAAGACAGATTATTTTTGTGGTAATCTACATACATAATTTGTTGTAAAAAATTAAATGCATAGGAGAAAGTCTACAATAGAATAAGGTTGTTATGACAGGGTGAATGGCCTGAGGAAGAAGCAGATCTAATGAACAAAATATCATATTTAATTCGGTGCTTTCTTATCTCTAAGGTTGCTGACATTGTTTTTTTTTTAGTTTTAAGCACCTTACAAAAAGTTCAAGACAGTCTGAATTCAAAAAGAGTATTTCCCACAATCCCAGAATTTTCCTTCAAGTTGAGATTCAAATAATTCCTTACTTTGGCTCTTTGTAAGAATTTTCGGGAATCATTTTAATCAAACACAATTTTTCCAAAAGTACACTTTAGGATTATTTTGGGGTTGCTTACTTACCTCTTGGCCGGATAATAAAGCCAGAAAACGAGGAAGATAGACTGCAAGGATTGTGCAGAGACCCAGCACTAAGTTAATTGCCACATATGTGATAAAAGCTACATCTGAGCTGGAGAAAAACCTTGACAGAAGATACATCCAGGGCATTGTGGCAAATCTGAAAGATAGAAAAACACAGATGAACACAGAGGAAACAATATAAATCCAATTTCTTGTGATTATGCATCAATAACAATTACCGTTCAAAGGTTGCTTATATTATAGCTTTATTTGAAACCCTGTTAATCCTTGACTCTTTCTGTCCAAATTACTGAAAGACATGACCTCCCCACGACTGTGAAATCATAGATCAATAAACCCGAAAACCATGGACCTGATTTTGAATTTAAAATTATGTGACTAACAGACAAGTATGAAGGTGTTCATTACAACCCAAGCAGAAACCTGAGCCAGCTGAAGCGACATTATGAAAAGCAATGGCACAAGGTAACTGCCATTGACAAATACAAATAAAAGCCATCAAGAGACATCAAGAGACAAACAATGGTTTCAACAGGAGTAGCATTCACACATCCATCATTCTGGAACCTGATATTCCTCACTATCAGGTTGAGATTGTAATGTTTACTATGACGGAAATGACATTATATCCATTCAGTCCTCTTGAGGCCAGGGCGTAGGCTGCTTGAGACGTATGTAATTACATCTCTGAACAGGTTGATTAGAAAATACCCAAACCAAGGGAAAAAGGGTGTTTAAACAGTGGACAACTCAGCAGGATGATAACAGGAAATGTATATGTGACATGAGTCATCATGAAAGGAGAACAACACCAGGGTGTGGTTCCTGCAGTCAGGAGAAGGAGGATGGAGACTGATCATTTCTAGGTTCAGGCCTAAAATCAACACCAGTACTGACCAACCGTGTGTGTAAAATTACAACTTTCATTCAAACTGTAGAGCAATTTGCACCTGGAGAATTTCAAATCACATTCAAATCATGAGGGATTTGAACTATGGTTAGTCATGCAAGTTTCAGTCAACTTTGTACAGGCATTTCCTGTAAAATGTTTGAAAAATCATAGAAGAAATCCTATGAGATCAATAAACAAATAAATCTGAGGTTGGGCTAAATTCCGTGTCATGTGCATTTGTTCTGTGATTAACCCTTACATTATCCCTGAAGTTCACAGTACCAAATTTCTCATGGCTCTGAAACTCCAAGGAGCAGAACATTCTGATGTAAGTGCTGACATTTACAAGTTCACATCTCCACTATTGATCCCACTGAAGAGACTGGAAAGTCTGACTGAAGGATCTTGAGCTGGGATGGGTTTGATCAGTGGGACCATGAGGTATTTCACCAGAAGAAATTTAGAAGGGGAAGCAGTTGAAAAATTAGAAAAAGCAAACTGTCAACATATTTGGGTTCACAAAGTTTCCAATTCTATCCTGTGGTTGGCCAGTGTGTGGCCTTTTCCTGTTGCTTCTTTTCTGTTAAAGAGGAAACGCAGGAGAAAGCCCTCTATGTGACTTGACGTTGTAATAATAGAGCACTTTCCAAATCACAAAGTAAGGCAGAAGTATAAGGCTCAGTTCCTGTTGCAATGCCTGTCTACATGGGAGCCCACCTTTCAGAACGTATCCTAATCTGTTCAACCTCATTTTCAATCTGTGCTGGTACCCATCAAGGCTCCAATCCTGAATCAGAGTTTTATTTAAATTTTCTTACTCTGACCAGAGGTGTTTATCATAAGGGCCATTGTCTATATGCTTTCAAAGAATTGCAAGATAACAATGAGGTATTGCCAGAATACACAGATCAATTAGCAAAAATGATGTTCAATAACTTATTCATCACATAGAATTTCTTTTATAACACAAAAACTATTGGACAGTCAACTGATCACATCTTTTGTGGTATTATAACACTTGTCAAAAACCCAAAATACTGAGAACATTTTTAACTTTCAATTCCACAATGTGTTCTTTTAAAAGAGGGCCAATGCAAACAAAAGTAGCTGCAGATGTAAATTAAGTGGCTGTCTAGAAAGGTAGACCCACAGAATGTCATACCTACAGATATGAAGGGAACTTCAAACAACAGCCCTTTAAAGAGGGGAAGAGCTGAGACAAAATAGTCTGGGCTATGATTTCTTGAGGCTACAAAGATAATGAGAGACTGATGACCTCTTGCTCAACAGCGAGCTACCTCCTGCATATTATGTCCCAAATTGCTTTTCCATTTAAAGAATACACATGGCCAGTGGTTAAAAAGTCAGTTTCAACTCTACTGGAGAGTGTGCAAGTTGATGTGAACACTCACATATGTAACAGTTAGATTCAAGCATCAGCACGTTTCTAATGTCACAGTCAAAGAACTATCCACGAGCCAGGGATAGTAGGAACTGCAGATGCTGGAGAATCTGAAATGCTGGATGAACACAGCAGGCCAAGCAGCATCAGAGGAGCAGAAAGGCTGACGTTTCAGGCCTAGACCCTTCTTCGGAAATGGGGGAGGGGAAGGGGATTCTGAAATAAATAGGGAGAGAGGGGGAGCAAATAGAAGATGGATAGAGGAGAAGATAGGTGGAGAGGAGACAGACAGGTCAAAGAGGCAGGGATGGAGCCAGTAAAGGTGAGTGTAGGTGGGGAGTTAGGGAGGAGATAGGTCAGTCCAGGGAGGACGGACAGGTCAAGGGCGCGGGATGAGTGGAATATGAGGTGGTTGGTAGTTGGTACCTCATATTCTGCTTGGGAACCCTGCAGCCCAAATGGTATCAATGTGGACTTCACAAGCTTCGAAATCCTCCCTCACCCTACCACATCCCAAAACCAGCCCAGCTCATCGCCGCCTCCCTAACCTGTCCTTCCTCCCACCTATCCCCTCCTCCCACCTCAAGCCCCACCCCCATCTCCTACCTACTAACCTCATCCCGCCCCCTTGACCTGTCCGTCCTCCCTGGACTGACCTATCTCCTCCCTACCTCCCCACCTACACTCACCTTTACTGGATCCATCCCCACCTCTTTGACCTGTCTGTCTCCTCTCCACCTATCTTCTCCTCTATCCATCTTCTATCTGCTCCCCCTCTCTCCCTATTTATTTCAGAACCCCCTTCCCCTCCCCCATTTCTGAAGAAGGGTCTAGGCCCGAAACATCAGCCTTTCTGCTCCTCTAATGCTGCTTGGCCTGTTGTGTTCATCCAGCTCTACACCTTCTTATCCACTAGCCACCTCTGGCTAAAAAAGATCTTCACTCACTCCAAGTGCTGCAAACCAGACAGAAGGAAATAGGACAACAAAAGGACTCTCTCACCCTGAATATGGAATTAAATCGCAGTAAAAAGGTGTTACAACTACAGAGTTTCAATCAACCTGCAAAACCTAAGGATTGTAAAACCAATTGTTCAACTACCAATATCAACGTTAGCAGTAACACTGCAATAGCCACTCTTTCTGAAATTTTCAGATATTGATCCACATATCTGTTCTTTTTTTTAACTTGTACCTTTTTGGACCCACCTCTTGTTTCTAATTTGTGTGCATTTGTGTTGTGTTAATTTGTCTTCTCATGTGTAGTAATTAATAAACTCACTGTTTTTATTAATTTAAGTAAGTCTGGTTAAATTGTTTCCCTTTAAAATCATAAGTTCATTTAGGTCTGGGAGAAAAGTAAGCATAAAACAAAGGGAGACTTCCTAAATTAATCTTGCTGCAACTAACAAAGGGATTCGGTGAATAAAGAAGGGGAGACAGTTCATCCTCTGACCTGGGGGATTAACAGTTTTGGGTACTATGTGTGGAACTGTAATGGATTGGGGAACCTCAGTTGGAATCTAGTCATAACATTGATCATTTATTTTCAAGTATTATTTCGCTGACTATAAAATGGCCTGATGTCTGGGCTGACACTTTTATAAAAAGAGCAGAGTCTGTTAAAGGCGAACATGTTGTGCAATCTTTGAGAATTTACTGAAGAAAGAGATTCTATTGTGCTTTGGTGACCTTAGGATGTTGCAAAACTTCTTATAGCCAATTCAATACAGTACACATATAGTCAGATTCCACAAACAGTAATGAACTAAATGATTAGGTAAACTAGTTTTGATTTTGTTTGCAAATTTAATATTGATCAGGATACCAGTAGGACTCCTCTGCTCTCTTCAAAAAGTGCTATAGGAACCTCAATGTCCTGAGGGGATACGTTTAACATCTTATTAAAAAAAAGAGACCAGCAATATGAAGCACCCCCTCCATTTACACTTCTGAAATTTATCAGTCAACAGTACGGGTAATCTCGACTCTAATGGCTACAACATTCAACTATCTGCTCTTCATGAACAATTCAGAAAGTGTTCCATATACCTGTTTCTTTGTAAAATTGTATCTACATTAAGTGCCTAGACCTTCAGAATGAGACTTGAAACCACGTTTATTTTGGAGTCTCGTTGATGCGACTAAACCATGGCCAATTCATATTTTTAATTGAATAGCCAAAAGTGCAGTCTATTAATCACTTCATGCAACATGTCGCAATCGGCGCTGTCTGGTTACATATCCCTTTCCAGCCTTTGAGCACTAAAGCTGTTATGTTCTCACCACGATCTGAGATAAGATCAGATCACTCAGCAAACGGAGTCAAATTAGGCATATTGTTGGTGTATAAGGTTCAAAGCCACACTTTGAAGTCATGTTTAGTTTTTGTTTACAATTTTCAACTTCAGTTTGATGTCTCAGTTCTTACCCAAATAAGATCAGCAGCAGGGTTGTAGCTCCTAGGTTATCTTTGTAAGTAAATGCTGAAAACTGGAAAGCTGCAAACACACAAATGCACAAAACTACCAGAACCAGATAATGGAGCTAAACAAAGAGAAAAGAAACACAAAGATCAGTTGAGAAGGGAAAAAAGAATACTCTAAAATTGTAGTTCTATTTCTTAGTTCTACTTATTATTCCACTGGTGGTTCCAGTTATTACATTCAACTCTTTTAAGCTGAATCAAATCATTTATAATCTTGCTATCTGGTTGAAATGAAACATGAACTTTGCTGTTAAGTTGTCACTAGGGTAGAAAACTATAAATCAAAGCTCCAGTATTGCCAGAGTTATCACAAAAGTTAAATATTTTGTAAAAGCACGCAAAATTCTCCAATTTGCCTGTCTTTTAGACCAAGGTTGATAAAAAGCATAGGCCAGGTGTTGTACTTAACAAGAAGACTATTATTACAAATAAATAAATACTAACTGTGGATAAACAATTATGAACTGTCAAAATATAACTCCACCAGTTAAAACTTTAACACCCTCCCTACACACTGATACAGATAGGCACACAAAAGTGGATATTATGGGTAGGGGGAAAGACTGGCAGGCAACTGCAATTATTCATATATCCTGGCTTCACTGAACCGCTCCTAATTTCCCAGCACTTACCTTTGTGCTGTTCGTTCTCCTTTAGAAAATCCTCCATGGGCCGGCACAACCCTCCTGTTTAGTAATCCCTTCTATTTCTCCGAATTCAAATTGTCTGAATATATTTTTTTCCTTTGCCCCAATATTCACTATCTGAATCCCAGTCCCTTGCAAATTCGAACCATCCCTGCACATTTAAGATCTCTTTAAGATCCTTAGGTTGGACATGCTTTCAACTATCCTCTTAATCACCCCTTTCTTAAGTCACCAATTGGTCAAGTCCCTTGGTTTGCTTATTATACTAAACACAATATTTACATGCAAGTTATTAGCTTAAAAAAAATGTTCACCAAACTTAGTCATTGGTCTTTTTGGTACCTTTAGCATCATTCCACACCCGCCCCCAGCCTATTGATTTGTCTTGTACTCTTTCGACTCCTTGTCTATCTCTACTCATAAACCTCTTCCCCTCTCTGTGTCCATCACCATCACCACTTGTAGTCCTGCACTTCAACCCTCATTTTGGGAAAATTCATGGCACGCAACAGTCATCTACCAGCTCTCCATCGGCTGCTTGCACTTGACATCACAATCATGGTATTCCCAGTTGTAGACTTGCTCGCTGAGCCGGTGTGTTTGATTGCAGACGTTCCGTCACCCTGCTCGGTAACATCGTCAGTGCGCTTCCGGTGAAGCGTTGGTGCTCTGTCCCACTTGTTATTTATATGCCTCAGTTTGCTGGGGTGGTTGGCATCACTTCCAGTTTGTCCCAGTCAAATTCATGTCCTTCTTTGTCCGTGTGTACTGAGACCTGTGTCTCTGGGTGGCTAGTTGATGTTCGTATATACTTTATTGTTAGTTTTCTTCCAGTTTGGCCTATGTAATGCTGCTCACAGTCCTTACATGGTATTTTGTATTTTACGTTGGCTTTATTGGTTATGGAAATGGGATCCTTTATGTTTGTCAGTAGCTGTCGCAGAGTGGTTGTTGGTTTGTGGGCTACCCTGATACCTAGGGAACAAAGTAGTCTTGTGGTCATCTCTGATATATCTCTGATCTACAGTAGGGTGACTCACGTGTCTGGCCTTGTTGTGTCTTCTTGTTATGGTCTGACGCAGAGGTAACGGTGGATTGTGCCTTTTGGGTATCCATTCCTTTTAAAAATGCCATATAAGTGTTTCTGTTCTGCTTTGTGCAGTTCCAGGTTACTGCTGTGTGGTGTGGCTCATTTGACCTTTCACTTCACCTTCAAAGACCATATATTCAAACAAATCAATGGAACACCAATGGGATCTCTGATATCAGGCCTGATAGCAGAAGCGGTAATGCAAAGATTAGAACGGACAGCGCTCCCCACTATCTAACCCAATCTGTGGTTCTGCTATGTAGATCACACCTTCGTGATAATCGAAAATGCACAAGACTAGAAGAAACCCACTGACACATAAACAACATCCTCACCGGAATAAAATTCACAAAAGAAGAAGAGAACAATAATCGACTACCCTTCCTAGGCGTAATGGTGGAACGTAAGAACAACAGGGAACTCCAGACCAGCGTATACAGAAAGACCACCCATAGGGACCTGATACTTCATTACATCAGCAACCACCTCAACACCCATAAACGAAGCTGCATCAGGACAATATTCAAATGAGCCAGAACACATTGCAGCAACCCGGAATTGCACAAAGCCGAGCAGAAACACTTATACGGAGTTTTTAAAAGGAATGGATACCCAAAAAGCACAATCCGCTGTTACCTCCACAACAGGAAGAAGACACAACAGGGCCACACGCACTAGTCACCGTACCATACATCAGAGACATAACAGAGATGACCACAAGACTACTCAGACCCCTAGGTAACAGGGTAGCCCATAAACCAACAACCACTCTACAACAGCTACTGATGAACGTAAAGGATCCCATATCCATAACCAATAAAACCAACGTAATATACAAACTAGCATGCAAGGACTGTGAGAAATATTACATAGGCCAAACTGGAAGAAAACTGATAATAAAAGATACATAAACATCAACTAGCCACCAAGAGACACGACCAGTTCTCACTGGTCTCAGCACACATGGACAAAGAAGGACAAAAATTTGACTGGGACAACACATCCATAATAGCACGAGCCAAACAGAAACATGCCAGGGAATTCCTGGAGGTCTGGCATTCCAACCGGAACTCCATCAACACACACATTGAACTGGACCTGATATACAAACCTTTGGGAAAGAGAACCGGAAATGATGCCAACCACCCCAGCAAACCGAGGCATATAAATAACAAGCGGAACAGAACACTGACGCTTCATCAGAAGCGCACTGATGATGTTATCTAGCAGGGTTACGAGATGTCTGCAACCAAGCATACTGGCTTAGCGAATAAGTCTACAACCTCATCCACAATTCATGGTATTCCCAGTCTTTGGTAAGAACAGATCCTAAGTGATGGAAAACTATGCAGATGAGCTAAGTTTGTTTTATCCAGCCAGAGTGTCCAATTGTAGTAGGGTGAAAGTGTGTAAGATTTATTATCAGCTCCATTGTACTGTTGATTTTTATTGCCAGCCTTTATCAGGGCATGTGCGACAGACAGTCACCCTGATGAATTTCATTATCAAAGACCTGTCAATCAGATGCTCTCACACAGTAAACATAGCATTTATCTCAGGAGGGAGGAGGGTAACTTCTTCAGGTTAGGCATCCTTAGAAGAGGCTTCGCAGTGGGGTGAGATAGTAGGAACTGCAGATGCTGGAGAATCCGAGACAACAAGGTGCAGGGCTGGATGAACACAGCAGGCCAAGCAGCATCATAGGAGCAGAGAGGCTGACGTTTCGGGCCTAGACCCTTGAAGGGTCTAGGCCCGAAAC